GCGACGCGATAGTCACGGTACGTGACTATACCATGTGACTTTTACCAGGCTAACATTCTCCCCCACTTATCTTTGGCATCCTCGACAAAGATTTCCACTACTTCTAGAATTCGACAGGTTATCCATGGTGGTGGCGTATCGGACGGTTGGATATCGCATGGTGAAGTGATAGTGCAGACATCCGAGTTGCCATTTCCGTCATTGACTGTAGTTCCCGGTTCATTTTCGATTTCTTTCGTTACAGCCGGATTACTAGCATTTACTCTTTTGTAACCTTCTTTCCCATCATTCCTACTTGTGCGCACAAACTCAAAATTAGGCCTTTTTCCGGTGATGTCACGAATTCGGGTAGTCCTATAAGATTGCTCTAGCTGGCTTCCCGATCCGATTTCCTGGCGAAGTATACGGTTCTTCCATTTCCTTTTAGCCGTATCAGGGTTCCAAGGTAGGTATGACTGATGCACATAATTACGCTGAGTTATCTTTGATTTTACTCTGATGGATGCTATGGTGCGATGATGGTAGGTCCTATCCCTTTTCCGTTTTCGTGACACATTGATGATTATTTTCCTAACCCTTAGTCTACCATTCCAGCGCCTTTTCTTAGCTCTCGGGTAATATGCATTAGCCGTGGATGTCATCAATTCCTCGGCTTGTGGTTTGATTAATGAAACGGATCGTGATCTCTCGTGGTCATGTGTTGTAGCTTCTCCGATGTCATTCCATGTCGGTTGAGCCATTCGCGCATTGGGTTTCCAAACCATTTGTTTTTTCTTGGCCGTATCATCCATAACATTTTGATTCCCGGGATGCATGCCGCATACAAAGCTTACTGTGCTATCCGGTACGAATCGCATTAGTTGCGCCTTGAATTTCCGCGTCGTATAAAATTTCTTCGTTGTAAACACGTTAAAATAAGCTATTGCCATCTTTCTCGCATTTGTTGCATTTACTGCATGTTGCCAATTCGTGAAAATGCTGTAAAGTTTGACTGTGCCTTGGCATACGTGTGTCCACTTCGTTGTCATTGATGCCGTTCTTCCGCTAATGATCCCCTGTATGTTTTGCCTGATTTGTTGCACATTGCGATCAATCGGGACATCATCATGATTTCGCACTCAGGGTATAATATGGTCCTTTCGACAACATTGTTGGTTAGCAGCCTCCTTGCGGGGCAGCTCATCTGGACTATACATGTGTTCGTATTTAATTCAGACATTTTTCAAAAACCGTATTATGTTCGTATTACTAAGTAACAATTAGTAAATAATTGGGAATCGTATTTAATTCGGAATCGTATTGTCGATCAAATTTCCTTTTATAGTAATAAGGAAACATGTATAATCTGGACCATCTGACTTTTGATCATCATCATCATCGTGCGAAGTGCTAATCTTATGAAGATGTCGGAGTGTGTTTTCGTGAGCTTTATCTTAAATTCGCGAAGAAACACCTCCATCCATTGTTGCCACACTGCAGGGATATTGTACGATCTGTAGGTCTCATTCCCAGGCGCATGCATTTTCCAAGTGATTACCGATGTTGTCTCGTCCCCGGTTGTTTTCCTCTTGCTTTGGCGTACCTTCCGCTGGACTGATACATTGTCGGTATTATCCGTGCACAACATCACTTCCGCGAATCTTAATCCTTGAACAATTTCCATAGGGGCGCTCTGTTGATCCTCTGGGAGCTCCCTTGCTAATTCTTTTGTTGTTTCCCGATCATTCTCAATTTCATCGGTTCTGTCTTGATTTTTCCGGGTTGTTGCTGTTGTTGGTAACTCCTCATTCGTTATTAAAACATCTGGTTCTTCCACTAATGTTATCTCGGTTTGCTCATTCTGTCGGTTACTGATTCTGCTGTCCATCTCAACTTTCTCGGTTTCTACTTTTACCATCTCTTCCCGAACGTTATCTCGTGACATGGTCGGTTCTTCTATCTGATCCGAACGCACGTCAAGATCTGACACGGTGGAGTATGGTTCAATGCTGGAATTGGGTTCACAGGGCGTACTTTTGGAGAGGGCGACTTCCTTTTCCTCAGTTTCATTGACCGTTTTTAGATCACTCTTAGTCGTCATCAACGTTCCTTCCAGTTGGAGGGGTCGTACGATGGCGTCTGAGATCTTCGGTCGCGCTTCATCATTGGAACCGGAACCTTTGCACATTACCCTCGTCACTTCTCCCTTCCATTCCCGACGGGATACTACTCGTTTTTCCCCTTCATTCGTTCCCTCTTCTCCACGCTGCCTTCTAATTTGCAGGATACTGCTTTTATCTCCATCATAGGGCCTTTCGTTACTGATTTCATCAACGAGTATTTCATTGGCCTCATCATCGTTCGAAACCTGAATCTTTACTTGACTTTCCATACTGATTTTCCGCCTACTAACACAAATATTTATTTCTTTAGGCGAAGGTATATCATCATCGTCGCACTCAGATTCTTGGGCTTGAGAATTCGTCTTGGTTCTCAGATGGCCCTTCTTCATCATCGTGGACTCCGGTACGACCTTCCCTCTTCTGTCCTCGCTCTTCCCGAATAACCAGTGGCGCCTAGGTCGACGGCTCTCTTCTTCACTTTCGCTATCACTTTCAGCATTGCTGAATTGTGTCATGGTGGGTCGGGGTACCTTCTTTTCTGTTAGTTCTTGCATCCAGTATTTCAATTTTTGAACGCAGTCTTCTAACTCTTTTCTTTTTTTTGCTTCTTTTTCGGCTCTGATTGCCGCTTTGAGTGCTTTCCTTGGGTCAGTTGCATTTCTAACGGCAGGTACGGATCGCAAGTCTTCTCGTAATTTGCGCATGATCCCCCGTTCAACCGTTTCCTTATGGTAGTCTCCCCTAGGGTAGATCTTCTTGAGTAGCTTCTGAAATCGTTGAACGTACTTAAGCACCTTTTCGCCCTCTTCTTGCTCTATGTCCTCCAACTCCGTCTGCCATTGGTGCCATTGTTTGGTCGTCTCAAAGTGGTGGACAAATGCTGATATAAAACTCTCCTCACGGTCGTACTCGTCATTCCAACAGGTAAGACGGCTCCAATTTTCCTCGTACCATTCTAATGCGTCCCCTTTTAAATACTCACCTATCCCTTCCAGCTTTTCGTCGTCCGTCCGTCCGTTTCGTTCGGCGGCTTCGTCGTAGAGCCTTATCCATGAGCGTGGGTCTCCTTCTACTCCACCTCCGAACTTCCGGATTCTGATCTTCTGGATTCTCTTTTCTTTTGACTTAGCTTCCCATTTTCGGTCGGCGGGCGCCTTTACTGGTCTTCTTAGGGCTTTTCGCCGTAGAGAGGTATGAGAAGTTCTTTCATCATCTGTGTCGTATATGATTTCAATCATGACACCGTTGATTATTAATCAGGGTGTCACGTGTCGCGGATGGTCTTCCTAGACGATTCCAAAGAGGGTATTGTCTTGTTTTGGCGAATAATGATTAATTAAAAATTCCTTTTTTCGGCGTTCGCACAAAAATATCGGGAGGGGGGGTAACGAGATGTCGTATCTCACAGTCACCACCAAATTGTTGGGCCGGAAAACGGCGAGTCAGTCGCTTCACTGGTCCAAAGTTCGCGTTACTAAAGGTAAGTTGAGGCGTGTATGATTGATTTAGCCGGGCAGTACTAATTAACTTCTTTTCTTTTCTTTC